CTCCGTGCGCCGCGGCAGGGCCGGGGCCGCAAACGGCCTCCTCGATGCGCCCAGGACGCACCGGAGCGGCCAGGGCCGCCTTGCGGGGGCTGCTGGTTGCCAACCCCTTGCCCTGAAGTCATTCCTAGACCGCAAAGCGCAGGGGAGAGCGAAGCTCCCCGGAGCTTATCCCGGTATCTGCACGGATCCAACGTCTGGGAATGTGCAGAGGGACGGAGACCACCGGGGGCTGGAGCAGAATCATAACGCAGTCTTCATTTGCAGGTGGATACAAGGGGAAATGATGAGAACAGCCATGCAGCTCTGGGCTGCTTCGAGCTGTCGGCGTAGAGGGAGGTGCTGGAGGAGGGAGGGTGCGAATTTAAACCCTCACAGCTGCCTTGGCCGGCACGTCTGCTCTGCAGCGGGAGCACAGCGCGGCTCCAGCCCCACTCCCCACCACGGTGCCATTCACCACCGGTGCCATGTGTCACCTTGAACGCATGAACTGTTGTTTATAGAGCACATTTCTAAACCCTCCCATCTGACCTGGGTACTGACTCTGCTGCTCCCTCGGGAACCCCAGCAGGCTCTTGGTGCCACGGCACTGTGTGAGAAGGGACATCTCTCTTTTCTCCCCTGCAGTTATGGTGACATGGTGCCCAAGACGATTGCTGGGAAGATATTTGGCTCCATCTGCTCCCTGAGCGGGGTGCTGGTCATCGCTCTGCCCGTTCCCGTCATCGTCTCCAACTTCAGCCGCATCTACCACCAGAACCAGCGCGCGGACAAGCGCAGGGCTCAGAAGGTAAGGGCGCCCGCGCCGACCAGCACGGCAAACCCCGGCACCGCCATCCAAACACTTCAAAAACTACATATATATATATATGTATGCACATACACACACGTGTATGTCCCATGGAAGGGGCAGCATGACAGACTTAGTGCATATCAACTTCAGCCTCCTAACTCACCCCAACACCAGAACTGCAGAATGAGGTTTGACGCTCCTATAACTAAAGGTTGAAGGACTGTTGCTCCCTATGGATGGCGTGTCCGCAGCCCCCTCGGGAACATGCACCGTTCCGGCCGGAGCGGAGCCTGGAACGGATCATCACGTGTTACGTATCAGTGATTTAGAGCATGGTTTGCCTGGCACGAGGCTGCACGCCGGTGTAACGTGCGTTGCCGTCTGCACTTACCGGGAACAGGAACGCGCGAAGCGTCGGCGCGTGAGGGGCTGGGCAGCCAGGAAGGACCCGCAGGTCCTGGGTGTCAGAACGGCCCGGGCAGGACAACTCGTGCCCATCTCTCTGGTCTGCACCTCCCGTTGCGGGGTGCAGCTCTGCCGGGAGTGCTAAATAACGCTGGCAATGCTGTTTAGCAGCGTTGGAACGCTAAAGAGCACGTGCAAGTCAGGGGGAAACGAAAGCAGCCGTTGGGATGCTGTGTGCACCAGTCCTCGGTGCAGCAGGCCAGGACCCGGCCGTGTCCCAGCAGGCCCCAGCAGCACCCGTGTCCTCCTCGTCTCCCACGGAGCAGAGGTGACCAGCATTAAGAGCATACGTTGTGTCCAAGCAGCAGACACTGCAGCAAGAGCTTTAATGAGGAGAATTTCTCCTGCACTACAAGCAAAGAGCAGCATATTAATAAAAATAAGCTTTACTAATGCATGAGGAAGAGGCAAAATACAAAGCAATTAATAAAATGTAGGCAGAACAGTAGGTAAAACACATAAACATGCACATGCTCCAGCAGCAGACTTGCAGTCAGAGATGATTTTTGAAAAGATGTGGAGCTTCTAATTAACATTCAAGGAATGTCAACGTAATATAAAAATCACTGCTATGTGAAAAGGAGGGATGGAAGCTATGGCTGAAGCGTTGCAGATAGGAAGCAAGCAGCTAAGAAATTTATCAGTAACTAGACATTTCAACCCTCTCAAATTCTTAGTCCTACTGATTCCAAACTCCAGATCATGACAAAGACAGATTGCAGAGGCTGCTTGGAAAGTTCTCGTCGTGAGGCTGCCCTAAATCCTCTCTGCCGAAAGGTCACCAGATGCTCCATCACGTTATCTGCTTTCTCTCCTGGGCACGGGAATACGGGGGGAATTTGTAAGGCTGCGGCGTGCGCGGGGCCGGCCGTGCTCCTCGCTGCTGGGGAGGGTCTGAAGGGAACGAGGCACCGACAGGGCTGCTAGAAGAGGCCCGTGTCGGTACCTGGGGATATGGAGGGATGCGAACATAGGAGAACTGCCAGGGAAGCCAATGAACAGGCAGGAGCTGCTCACCCATGGGGCCGCCGGCGCGCGATTCTTGCCATGATTCTCCTTTACCCTCGTCCCTTGGACCACGACCCGCCAGGTGACAAGAAAACACACCATGAGGCTTGATGTTAATATGATTGATTGCAGCTTTTATAAGGTTTGCTGTATTGACACACATACTCTGTAATTCCTCCCTTCCCCATATGAATTTCTAATTCCCTTGATACTGGATGGATTTCTGGGCTAAGAAAGTTTTCTCAAGGCAGGAGTGTGAGTAATTCTCACATGCTCATCACTGCAGGAATACTAAGCAGAACGAGAGCAGCACATTAATGACAGCCTCTCCGGAGATGGTCCGGAGGTTTACGGGGAGGCAAGAACCCGCTCTGAAGGACATGTTTGTTCCAGCGCCCTCCACTGAGTTCAATTCCTGCTTCAGGAATAGAGCAAATCTTAGTAATAGTTAAAGCTTCGTCCCCAACTAACAGCAGACAGACATTGCATTGGTCTTCCAAGAAAGGATAAAGTTCTCTGCACAATCCCACTCCTTCAGTACCTAGAAGAGTCCACCAGTATCAGCTCCTTATAGGCACAGAAGACACAACTTCATTGAAATATATCCTTGCAAAGTTTCTAGAGTGCTAAATAAATTCTATTTCTTTTAAACAGAATGAGTAAAACACTGCAAGGTGTACTCACCAACACTGACCTTTCCATTAACTGGGGAAAACAGTTCCTTAACATGAAGGGAGGAGAAAAAAAAAAAAAAAAAACACACACACACCTACCAGTAATTTAATCACCTTGACGATAAATTATTCTTCAAAACCGCATAGCAGGATAATTAATTAATTAATTAGGAGATCTGGCAATCTCAATTTATCACGCTGTATCATCAAACTTTGTCCTCTGGCACACAGCAAGGACCAGGTCAATCCGAATGGAAGATGAATTGATCATTTCTGACAAGATTCATTTTGGTGAAGTTGTTTTTTTCCAAGGACTCTCTTTTCCCCCGTTTGAGTGATGTGCTGAGAACTGACCTCCCTGACATTGAAACGCCGCCGTTCTTGAGCGAATGTCACAGCCTTTGGATTGGAGAGAGAATTTGACACTCAGAAGGCTTGACAGGAGAGCGCCTCTGCGCTCCCACACGTGCTGCTGTCCCCTGCGGCCACGGGAGGAGGGCGACGAGCGGCTCCTGGGAGCAGCGGGACAGTCGGAGCCCAGCACATGAACCGGGATCGCAGCCCCGCGCGACGCGTTAGCCCCGTGAGCCGCGCGGGGACAAACGCTCAACGGGAGCGACGCGCGTCCGCGCGGGCGCCGCGGCCCTCCCGAGGGCAGGGCGCTCCCCACGGCTTCCTGCCACGCGGAAAGCTGTTCAAGACCAATACTAAAACCTGGTCTTTGCACAGGTATTTCAAAGACAAACGAGGAAGAAAGAGGAGAGGAGAAAATAGAGTTCTTAGTGGTGCTATTTCTAGTCAGGGGTTTTCAAAGCGTTACAGGATGCTTTCTTCACCCTTAAATCTCCCAGCTACACTGACCCTTGTCTTTATACTACTTACATTGCCCGGCTTTAAAAATAACTAACTCGGGTGGCTCAGCTCAGATTTTATGAAGGGCAGCAAAGTTCATTTGCTCTGTTGGTCTTTTTATTACCGGGATAATGCTTCGGAAAAGGCAACGAGACTCCTCTAGCAGCGCCAAGCTGTTGGCGAGAGCGGGAGGAGGAGATTCTGCCAGCAAGTGAGTTTCCAGCAAAGAACCAAACACGCAAATTCACACAAGGAAAGGACCATACAGACAAAACTCCTTCTGCAGGGCAGCTCTTGCATTAAACCCTAGCACATGATGCTTCACAGGACTGAAAATCACAGACTATTGAAGAGTCTATGTTATAAAGCAGCAAAGCAAAGGAGCGACCCCATGGCCTGGAGGGGGAAAATAAACATCCAGGCACAGAACCAGCGAAAGCAGGAGAAGGGAATGAGGGAGCAGGAGGGAAGCAGCGTCTTTCCAGATGGACTCAATGAGAGGAGACAGAGGGGAAGGTTCCCGCGCGCAGCAGCTACTCCGAGCTGGCTGCACACAGAGCTCCGGCTCTGCACACAGATGAGGAGGTAACTATGGAGATGCTCAGAGGGGCTCAAGCCAAGGCAGGAAGAGCAGGAACCGCCGTCTGCCCGATGGTTCCGGAGAGCGCGGCAGGAACAGCCCGTTCCCGCGCGGCGTCCCCAGGGGCGCGCGGAGCAGCACCGCGGTCTGAGGAGGCAACGGACAGGAAAGGAGGGGATGAAGGGAATGCTCAGCACCGGATTTACGGCATCATCTTAGCCACGAGAAAGCCAGCGCACCCGTCAACAACGAGGCCGTTACAGTGACTGATCCGCTCCGGAGCAGGGGAGCCGGCTTTGCAGGGCCTGGGTTTCGGCTGACGCCCCGAGCGCTGGAGGCGGCTGCTGAACGTGGAGCAGGGAGCACGAGGGCCGGAACAGGCTGCGGAGGCGGCGAGGTCGGCTCCGAGCCCGGCAGGGACGGGTGGGGAACCCGGGACAGGCACAAACAATGAGGTTAAAACTGGAGCTGGCTGACATTTAAAAAACGTGTTATTTTCAACCACAATAAGTCTGCCTGGAATGTGTTTTTGTTGTTGTTGATATCTAATAATTTGACAAGGAAAAAGAGCTGCTGTTTTCTGAAGAGGGTAGAGAGGAAAAAAAAGAAAAAAAAAAAAGAGAGAAAGGATTTCAGTTTTGCTGGGGTAGGGACATGTTTTTTCTTCCTCTTCTTTTTCCTGTTTGCTGTTGTCACATTCCTTAACACATTTCAGGGGGAAAAATAAACAAACGAACAAACCAGAAATCCTTCCTCTCTGTTTTGTATAATCCAGGAAAGTAAATGGCATTTTTAACCAGTTCAGCTATCCAAATTCTCTGGGTCTCTAAGACAACTAGATGTTTCCAACTTTTTGAAAAGGAAGGCCTCAAATCAGTGAGCTGCAGCCTGTCAGCTCAGTCTCCAATGCAAACCTGTGTGTAAAATACTGAACTAGTGGCCCAGTAGACACAATTTCCATGCACCCCCGGGAGCTGCTCGGCATTTCCCGCTGCCTCGAGGCCCTTCCCTTTCTCCGGCAGATAACGGTCCGTGACGCAGGAGAGCCCGGCTCGGCCATCCCGGGTCTGCCCTTCCCGCCGGCTCCGGCTCCGGACGCAGCTCGGCTCACGGGATCTGTAATTCCCGGGGTTGCCTCCTTCAGCCCCGATGCCTGAACAAACATCAGCTGAAACTGCCTCGTCAAGGGGACCGGCGCGCAAAGCGCCCGGCCGAAAACGCTGGAAACCTTCTACTGCTTTGGAACTGGCTTCTCATAGTCACATCCCTCTTCATCATCTTCATTAACAACTTATTTTACCATTGTGTCTATGCAACGCAGAACTGAGTAGGCTGGGGACCGTTTGGATTCCATGCAGCTCTCAATCTAAGCACTGCATACAGCTCTGCAACACCCCTGCACCAGCTGGAATACACGG